TCGAGTGGCCCTATCTATGGGAAGGTATTAAGCCTCTTTGGCTTGGGAGACCACTTTATTAGTTGGGAGATTAATGGATCACATGGCCATCCTGTATTCGAACACCAGTCTGTTTTAGAAAGGAAAATTTGGAGATAAAATCACTCTCTATGCTGACGATGCCCTACTCTTTTTGGGCGATACTGACGGGTCCCATTCTTCTCTTATGTCTACTATTACTATATTTGGATCCTTTTTAGGATCGTAATTTACTGGTACAAATCAGTACTTCTCCCCTTAGATGGTCAGCAGGTGGAGATCCCCCAGGTGCCCAACAAATAAAAATTGTCTCGGCCTTAAAATTTCTAGGAGTCTGGGTACACCGGAGGGTACAACATTATTTGAAACATAATCTGCATCTATTGTTGGAGAAATTTAAAACTAAGAGTAAGGTGTAGTGTAAACTCCCATTGTCTGTTGTGGGTCACACAGACCTCATTAAAATGATCTGGGCTCGCCAGCCGTTCTGTATTTTACACAATTCATAGATATGGGTAACATAAAGTGGTTTAAGTAAATTTACTCTCTTTATTGAAATTTGATTTGAAAGGGAATACAACCCAGAATTCGATTTCACATTTTACAGCTGCCTAAGGATGGGGGAGGACTGGCGGTCCCATCTGCCAAACTGTATTTCCTAGCAGCCCAGCTACATCTTTTCGAAACAAATATCACCTGATTGCCCAACTGGACACGGGTGGGTTTTGAAGCTGCTCACAATACCCTTCACTGATACTTATGGCTAATGTATGGAATGAAATTAAGCGACCTATGAGATACGATGGCATCTCTAGATACCCACCCCATTTGGGAAGGGAGAAGACTGAATGAGCTAGGCAAACTGCAGGGTTTTGCAGGATGGTCCTCTAGAACGGTCCTCTTTTTATACCAGCTGTACAATAATAACCAGCTGAGGTCCTTTAAAGATTTACATGAGGAATTTAACATCTCATCTTGCTGATTTTTTCAGTATCTTTAGATACGTCATGCCCTTGCTGTTCAAGCCAAGTCAACAGTATTTATGTTGATCCCGACCCCACTTATTGACTAATTAGCAACCTCCACTAATAAGAAGGGTCTTATTTTATATAAATCTCTCTTGGTTAACGCTCAGGGTAACTTGCAGTTACTGGGAAGATGTGAATGGTCAACAGATATATCCACTTTAGACGGGGAGCTTTGGCGCTCAATTTTGGAACAGGTCCCCTTGGTATCTATCTCTCCTACTTGGAGATATTCACAACTTTTTCTAATTCATAGGGCTCACAGAACACCCCGCAGGTTGTTTAAGTGGCACTGCAGAGAGACCCCGAATTGCCCTCCATGTGGGGGAGCACCTGCAGACCATCTACGTATATTTTGGAAATGCTTCAAGCTAGTGCACTACTGGAGTGTTGTCCTTCACAATATTAATCAAGCATTTCAAGTGGCTTTGAATAATGATCCTATGACATGTGTACTAGGGTTCCTTGATGAAGTATATATGTCCCAGGCCAGAATCGCTATTACTAGACTTTTTTTCTGGCATGTAAATGTAAATTATTAAAATGGCTTACACCCACACCCCCTACATTTGAAGAATGGTGGACAAATTTTAATTCTAACTTGATGGAAGAGGAACATATCCTGAAGAAGTGAGGTACTCCCTTCAAATTTAATAAGATCTGGGATCCATGGTTTCAAACTCCAGGCTCACCCCCCTTATCTCTTGTGTCCCTGTGCATTCTACAATGCTTGTTGATTTAGAACTATGGTGTCTGTTCGGAGTTATACTTTTACTAGAGTAACAGAATTATATGGTGATGCCCTTTGGTAGGAAGGCAAGACTGATGGGAGCATGACTTGCTTTTTTTCGCTTGTATGCTTCATACTGTAGTGGTCTCTAAGCTATGTTTAAGAGGGTTGTATAAATGTTCTATACCTCACTTTAGATATGAGAAGTCTAAGTGTATTCCGTTCCGTTACTATGTATCAACTTTCATGCCTTGGAATGCTGTATCAGTACTATTGCTTCCTCAGAATTTATCTGATACCGTGTGTGTAAGAATATTATTGTCTCTCATGGGGAGTCAAATGTCAGATTGTATGATTATATTTTTTCGTTGGTTTGGTTTTGTGGCTTGTAAACTGTTAAAACCTCCAATAAAAAAGTAATTGGGAGAAAAAGAATGTGATACCTTTTATCTGAAAGTTAAAATTGAACCAGAAGTGGATTTCTTTACACAATAATGGACTGAAGCACACTAACAAATCCAGAAGAATTTTAAACGGGCAGTTTATGCAATGAAACCTACACACATATTGCAAGTAAAGGAATTTTGCATGAAGGAGTGGTCAAAAAGTGGTCAATGGCTGAGACTGGTGGGAATTTATGCAAAATGTCAACAAGAATTAATTTCTGCTAAAGTGGTCACTGCCAGCTTTTGAGGAGGCCATTGGTGTATTTTCTACTCCCACGTTTTACTTGTTTGATGACTTAATGATTCAAAAGTCCTGTATTTTATTTGTGTATCACCTTTATCTGTAGGCACTATTTTGAATGAAGATCTAAAGTTTGCCTGTTGAAATATATTTCCATGGGGTGTACTTCCTTTTTCAAATGACTCTATACTTCTAAAATTATTGTATTTACGTTAGCATTGTCATCAATTGATCACCATTTTTTGCATTTTAGTCTAGCAGAATTATTATTCTCTGGTTATTGAAATTAAAAGATCAGTGAAAATGCAGAGAGGGAGATTTATTAAAACTGAAGCAGCAAGAATCTGGAGCAGGTGTGCATTGCAAGCTTCTGTCTTTCAGTTTCTAAGTGTAAAGTGGTTGTAAACCTCAGACATGAAATTTGAACAAGGCATATCCCTTTAGTAATTGGTGTACCGAAATTAAAGTTACGGTGCCGAAACCGATACTAAAAATTCTGAATGTACGTGGCCGAAAACCGAAATGTCTGCGTGTGTGGGGAGGCTCACATTTTTTTCTTACTTTTAATGTGTATTTCTATTGATTTATTTTAACTTGTGATTTTATTTCTATCACGTAGGGGACCAATATGAGTGACAGGTCCGCTTTGTGGGGGGGTCAGTGTGTGCAAGGAAGGGGCAGGAAAGGAGCAGTGCATACATTGAGGGAGCAGTGTATACACTCAGGCTCCCTCACTGGCTGCCACTATGTCAGTGCTGGTTTTTAAAAAACGCAGTTTTTTTTTTTGTTTTTTTTTTGGTTTTTTTTCCCTTCATTATAGCCCCAAGAAGAAGCTGTTATTCACACTGCCGCTAAAGGCAACAAAGGGGCGACTCAGCCCCTTTATTTCCTTTAGCAGTGGAGAGATTAACTTCTTGGAGTTTTAGTGAAGGAAAAAAAAAGCAGGTAATTATATTTAAAAACCGGCAGTGACATTTAGCGGTAGCTCACTGTGTGTGTACACTGCTCCTCTCCTGCATTTAAATGTCCCCCCTCTACCATCTCCCCCAAATCTGCAGTACACACAGCCCCCCGTATTGGCACCTGTATCGGATACATTTTTCCTATCAGCAAAATGCCGACAGGGCTATTTTCGGCTGACACAGCCTGTTCCTCGGTGTTGTGTGAAGAGGTTTGTCAGCCAAATTGCCTCCTGCTACAGCCATATATTCCAAATTTTGGCTCATCAGTCCAGAGCATCTGCTGCCATTTTTATGCACCCCAGTTCCTATGTTCTTGTACATAGAACATGGAAACAAGGCAAACAGACTCAATTATGCATGAAAACAAAGGTATTGTGGTGCAGAAAAAATGCACCAGGTGCCCTGGACTGATGAGCCAAAATTTGAAATATTTGGCTGTAGCAGGAGAAAGTTTGTCCTCTGAAGGGCTGGAGAGCAGTACAATGAGTGCTTGCAGGCAACACTAAAGCATGATGAAGGTTCCTTGCACGTTTGGGACTGCATTTCTGCAAATGGAGTTTGAGATTTGGTCAGGATCGATGATGTCCTTAATACTGAGAAATACAGGGAAATACTTATCCATCATGCCATACCACCATAGAGGTGTGTGATTGGTCCCAAAGTTATTCTGCAGGAGGACAACGACCCCAAACATATAGCCAACGTCGTTATGAACTATCTTCAGCATAAAGAAGAACAAGGAGTCTTGGAAGTGATGGTTTGGCTTCCACAGAGCCCTGTTCTCAACATTATGGAGTCTGTCTGGGATTACATGAAGAGACAGAAGGATTTTAGACAGCCTTCATCCACAGAAGATATGTAGCTCTCCAACATGTTAGGAGAAATCTACCTGCCGAGTTCCTTCAAAAACTCAGTGTACCTAGAAGAATTGATGTAGTTTTGAAGGCAAAGGGTGGTCACACCAGATATTGATTTAATTTGTATTTATCTTCTGTTCATTTGCTTTCCATTTGGTAATTGATAAAAATAAACTATTAACATTTCTATTTCATTCATTCTGTTGATGTGACACGGGGAGTTATATATATTTATATTATATTTATATATATCTATATATTTCATTTGCATACAGTGTTTGAATTACGGAGTAATTGCCAGTCAGACTATCACAGCACTGAATAATTGCCTGATAATGAAGGTTTATTTCTCTCTGGTATACAAGTTGTTAAAGTGTTTGTAAACTGTAACAATGACTTGCTCCCTTTTGGTCAGTTAACTATACCATCAAAGTCAAAGGTCCCCTTTATGACAAAACTGCCTATGTAGGTAAGGGGTGCCTGTCAGTAAAAACAGACTTTGCGGCTTTGACCAAAGTTGAATAATGCTCTTGCTATAGGTGTAGGCCATTCACATACTTCATGAAACCTGACTGAAAAATTCACAGAGATTACATTTTTTTTGTTTTCAAACCATTTTTTACTTATTTATTTCACAGCTTTGCATGTCAGTCTGAGAATTTTTTTTTTTTTTTTTTTTTTTTTTTTTTTTTTTTTTTTTTTTTTTTTTTCGGTTTCACAGGGAAAAGTTTCCAACAGCAGAGAGAAGCAATGAAGCAAACAATAGAAGAGGATAAAGAGCCTGAAAAATCAGGTAAATGTAAAAAATAGTACTTCCATGCCAGTTTGTCAAGTGTCTTATATTACATGTAAGATCTTTTGAGCAATTTTTAGAGTCAGTCTGGTGTTAATTTTTTTTAATGTGTGTGAATATTTTAAAAATTAATCTGTTGATTATGCATGTACATGGTCCAGCCACATTTTCATTACATATGCAGGCTTTTTTTTCCAGCTTTGCAATGCTACACAATAGTTCTGCTTTACTGCTGCTCCTCAGTGCCTACTTGTTGAAAATAATTCACTCTCTGACCAATATCAGCAGATTATGGGTGCAATGCCTGGGTCCTGTACTGGCAGGCAGATACAGAATGGCTGGAAGAATCGTTGAACTACAAGAGCGTTCACCAGCGCCCATGCAGTTTATTGAGAACTAAAAGCCGTCTGCCACACTGTTTACATATTACACCCTAAAAATGAATGTAACCTGTAACATGCTCCTAAGGTAAACTTCTCCTTTAAATTAAAAGATAAACCGAGAGAGTTGGTGATCTGTTAGGGTTATAGAAGGTAGACCTAAATCTTCCTACCATAATCTGAGAGGGAGAACTGGTGTAATTATTCAAATTGCTGGCATCTACAGAAAATAGAACCCAATTTCAGCTTAAAAAATGTTTTTTGGAAAAGCTGGCAAGGTTTGGATCCGCTGTCAATTTTTTTTACTGTTGTCTATGTACTCATTTGAGAGTTTTCCCCTCACTTCCTGCTCACTTCCATGAAAAGGGGTCAGAATGATGAGAAATCTCTCCAGTGATGATAGACAGCAACGGAAGCTTTTTATTTTAGTAGAATTGGGAAAGGTTAGAACCTTTTGTTAGGTTTTTATTACCTGTGCCTGCTCTTGTGACCCATCCTCCCTTGTGCTTCATTGCTTCATATCCTCATATCACAGGCATTTGGCTTTCAAGTTAAAAGGTATTATTCTCCTTGCAGGAAAATTGTGGTGTGCAAAGAAGAACAAAAAAAAGAGAAAAAAGGTGTTATATAATGCCAACAAGAATGATGGTAAGCATGAAATTATTTTAAACCTTTAATAATATTTTTTTTTCATTGGGTGCCATTATTCTTGGAATAAAGTCTTAAGGGTAATTTGACTTTAAAAATGAAAGTCATACCTCTCAGCCCACGTCTGCCAATTCAGCACTCCATACACAGCCCCAAAAGCTGTGTAGCAAATAATGCTGGCAATTGCAAGCTGAGATTTGTCAACTCGTGATCATACTGACCAATGAGAAATCACTTCCTCCGATACGGAAATGGCGATTCTCATTGGTCAGCGCGGTCAGACCAATCGCCATTGCCAGCATTTTCCTGATAGAAAAACTCTGGGCTATGTATGGATCATTAAATCGGCAAACGTGGGCGACTCTGAACTTGCTAAATAGCATGAAAGTGCAGCAGCGTGTGGAGGATGTTGAGAGGTATGATACAAAAAAATGTCTTCATCTGAAGATCTGATCATTTCCTAGCTAAATGTTAACACCCCTATTCACTGCATATTGATAGATTTGATTATTGGCTGTGAGTAAGCAGTGTGTTTTTGCTTGTAGTTAAAATCACGATCATTTATTTTTATTCTACTTTGTAATAAATGTAGAACGCGAGAGAATATTTTTAAAATTTGTTTTGGGATTCTTCTTTTTCCATCCAGATTATGATAATGAGGAAATCCTAACATACGAAGAAATGTCCCTTTACCACCAACCAGCAAACCGAAAGCGACCCATAGTTCTTATAGGACCACAGAATTGTGGGCAAAATGAGTTGCGGTTGCGCTTGTTGAACAGTGAGGCTGATCGTTTTGCCACCGCTGTACCTCGTATGTATTTTCTTCTCATCTTTAATGGACAATAAGAGTTTACAAACACTGTTTAAATGGGAATTAAGAACTGACATGAAGAAAACCCATGTTCAGACAAATATGTGGGCCATTTTCTCTCTCATTCATCAAGGGACAGAGGAATTCAGAGTTGTTTGGGTTATAGTGTCACCTTCAGGTTGAGTGGATGCTGGCAAACAAAATATTCTGAGCCAGGCCAGTATAACCACCCAGCATGCCTTAGGCCCTGTTCACACTAGTGCTTCTGCAATAAAGCGCACTTTTCAAGTGCAACATAACTGCATGAAAAATTGTCCTCTTTAAATCCTCTGTAACTGTTCACACCACTGCGCTGCAGGTAGGCTGCGTTGTAAAAAATCCTGCATGCTGCATCTCAGGTGCACTGTTTTCAAATATGCACTAAAGTCAAATTTCATTAAAGTCAATGGAAATGCACCAAAAACATACAGTGTGTTTTTGAGTCAGGTCAATTTTTTTGTAAGGTGACAGGGATGAAAATGCACAATGCATCTAAAACATATGTAATGCATTAAAAATGCGTTTAAAACGCCTTCTGCGCACCAGTGTCAGCAGACCCTTATTTTTTTTTTTTAAGGGTAGAAAAAAAACCATTCTGCTGGAAATGATTATGTAATGCTATGTTGTCTGTGTAGGTGTGTATGCATCCTTATTATTATGTTTTGATTACCTGAATTACTTGATTGCCATTGAGGGACACAGGAAGTCTATGGGGTTGATTACTAAAACTGGAGTGTGCAAAATCCGGTGCAGCTGTGCATGGTCGCCAATCAGCTTCTAACTTCAGCTTGTTCATTTAACTACTTTTCCTCCACCGTAAAGCAGTTTTACTGCTACAGGGTGGCTGTCCCGTGCAAAATTATGTATATATACATAATTTTACACTTCCACCTTGTGAGGGCGAGCGCGCGCTGCCAGCAGATCGCTTCTACTGGGAAACTATCAAAGCAGAAGGTGATCTGCGAGTTTGGGTGAATGGATCTTCGCCGACACCAGCAGATTGTTGGGCAGGGAGGAAAAACACAGATGTGCCTATGTTTACATAGGCACAGTTGTGATGTGACAGGAGAAAGTGATCCAGTGTATCCAGTTAGTGATCAGTGTATATTTTTTAACACTTATCACTGTATTATGCAGGCCATAGATGGGTCGAAAATCGGCCGATTTTTCTTTTAAAAAAACAATCGGTCGTTCAAGTGGCCGACGTTACCACCAATGATGGTAAAAAAAATCGGCCAATTTTCATCCCGTCTACAGCCGGCAAAAAGTGTCTCTGCAGAGAGCTCCGCTATTTCTTTGACAGTTCTCTGACAGTTACTTGACATTTACAGCGGTTGCAACATTGTATCTATTTGTTTCCATTTAGGATACAGATGTTTTTATTCGGAAACAAATAGATACAATGTTGCAACCGCTGTAAATGTCAAGGAACTGTCAGAGAACTGTCAAAGAAATAGCGGAGCTCTCTGCAGAGACACTTTTTGCTGGACTGGAATTCCTCTTATTTTCATCCTACTTCTTCTTCTTTTTCATCCTCATCCCTCTTCTTCTTCTTCATCCTCATCCTCTCTTCTTCTTCTTCATCCTCATCCTCTTCTTCTTCATCCTCTTCTTCTTCTTCATCCTCATCCTCTTCTTCTTCCTCATCCTCTTCTTCTTCTTCTTCTTCATCCTCATCCTCTCTTCTTCATCTTCTTCTTCTTCTTCTTCCTCATCCTCTTCTTCTTCTTCATCCTCATCCTCTTCTTCATCCTCATCCTCTTCTTCATCCTCATCCTCTTCTTCTTCCTCATCCTCATCCTCTTATTCTTATTCGTATTCTTCATCCTCATCTTCATCATCATCATCATCATCCTCTTCTTCATCCTCATCCTCTTCTTCATCCTCATCCTCTTCTTCTTCATCATCCTCATCCTCTTCTTCTTCATCCTCATCCTCTTCTTCTTCTTCATCCTCATCCTCTTCTTCTTCATCCTCATCCTCTTCCTATTATTCATCCTCTTCTTCTTCTTCATCCTCATCCTCTTCTTCTTCTTCTTCTTCATCCTCACCCTCTTCTTCTTCTTCTTCATCCTCATCCTCTTCTTTTTCATCCTCTTCTTCTTCTTCCTCATCCTCTTCTTCATCTTCATCCTCTTCTTCTTCTTCATCTTCATCCTCATCCTCTTCTTCTTCATCCTCATCCTCTTCTTCTTCATCCTCTTCTTCTTCATCCTCATCCTCTTCTTCTTCATCATCCTCATCCTCTTCTTCTTCTTCTTCTTCATCCTCTTCTTATTATTCATCCTCATCCTCTTATTCTTCTTCATCCTCATCCTCTTCTTCTTCCTCATCCTCTTCTTCTTCTTCTTCATCCTCTTCTTCTTCTTCTTCATCCTCTTCTTCTTCTTCTTCATCCTCTTCTTCTTCTTCATCCTCTTCTTCTTCCTCTTCTTCTTCTTCATCCTCTTCTTCATCCTCTTCTTCTTTTTCTTCTTTTTGTCTTCCTCTTGCAGGTCACTGCTCATGCGCAGATTTTTTATCGGTAAAAGATCGGCCAATTAGCCCATTATTGCCGCGAAAATCGGCCGCTTTTTTTTCCAACTTTACCAAAAAAAAAAAAAAACGGCCAAAATCCCGAAAAAACGGCCGAACAAATAGCCCACTAACGATCCGAAAATCGGCCGATTTTATTTTCGGCCGAAAAATCGGCCGATTTTCGACCCATCTATGGCCTGCATTAGTGTCACTGGTTCCCACAAAGTGTTAGTGTAAAAATGTTCGCCGCAATATTGCAGTCCCGCTATAAGCCACTAATTGTCACCATTGCTAGGATTTTTTTTTTTTTAGAAATCCATTATATGTCCCATAGTTTGTAGGCTCTATAACTTTTGCGAAAACCAATCAATATACGCTTATTGGGATTTCTTTTACCAAAAATATGTATCAGAATACATTTTGGCCTAAATTTATGAGGACATTTAATTTTTTAATTTTTTTAATTGGATATGTTTTATAAGGTTTTTTTAAATATTGTCAGTCTGTTTTTTTTTTTATAACGCAAAAAGTAAACATCGCAGAGGTGATCAAATACCACCAAAAGAAAGCTCTATTTGTTGGGAAAAAGGACATAAATTTAATTTTGGTGTAGTGTTGCACGACTGCGCAATTGTCAATTAATGTAACGCAGTGCTGTATCACAAAAAATGGGACTGATCAGTAAATCTTCCGAAGGGCAAGTGGTTAAAGTAATTATAAATGTTATAATTTAAAAAAAATAACAAACATGGTATACTTACCTACTGTGTGCAATGGTTTTGCACAGAGCAGCCCCAATCCTCTTCTTTTGGGTCCCCTGCCAGCTGTCCTTGCTTTTCCCCCCTAGCCAAGAGCCCCCCAGTAGCAAGCCTCTCGCTATGGGGGGCACTTGAGCAGGCTTGCTCTTGAGCTGCGCTCCTGTGAATGGACATTGTCCATATAGAGCACAGCTCAGCCTCGTCCCCCCTCTCTCTCTCCTCATTTGCTCACTGGATGAGCCAATGGCTCCCCCTGCTGCGTGAGCCAGTGAGGAGAGAGATTCCCAGGAGAGCTGATCGATGATTGGGTTCAGGTAAGTATAAGGGGGCAGAGGTGGGAATTGCACCCAGAAGGTTTTTTACTTTAATGCATAGAATGCAATAAAGGATAATTTCACCTTTGGGAACATGTTACATGTTCCACCCATTTTTAGGGTGGAAACTGTAACATGTTCCCATAGCCGTAGTCGCCTCTCTTTGACAGTACGGGGAGAAGTCTCCCTGTACTATCTGTCATAATTGAAAACAGGGTGGCCATGGGGGCTCTGCCAACACGGCTACAACATTCATTCACGGATGAATGAGTGAATGAATTGCAAGTCCCGACAGTCTTTGTAATTTTCAATGAACTACCACGGTTTTGTGGAGCGCCGTGGTAGTTCATTGAAACTTCCGATCAGAATATCTGCTTGCTCGTACATCCTGTACAGCAAGTAGATATTCTGACAGATCTGCAGGATACCTGCATGGCATCAGGGATCTACTGATCGCTGGTGTAGTGCTTTCCAGGCTCCTGTATTCAAAAATAATAAATACAGATTTTTTTTTTTTTACCTGCAGTAAAATGTACATTTATTATTTTTGTCTAAAAGATTAACTTATCCTTTAAGGTGACAAACCTTCTGCCTTTAGAACCACTTTACGTTTTGACTGAAAACCTGTAAACCGTTTGGTTTCTATGCCGAGCTATATCAGATTTAAGCAGTGGGCTCTGCATGTGGTGCTTTCCACACCTAAGTTATCCTGTAAGTTAACCACAAAGTGTTCTCCAGGCCCACAGGTATGGAGCAGCACCAGGTGAGATCCTGTTTCTGCGGACCCAGTTTGTGAGTAAGCTGTGCGGAAGAAGCATCAGGAGCTCCCTCGTATTAGCACTGCTGGGGGTATTTTTCTCTGCTTCTGCTCCTGAATGCATGTGAAAAATGGATCTATCCTCTGCTTGTCTCTACTGCCCACCTACAGTGACTTGCTCACAATGTGCTGCCTGAACCTCACCTACCATAGAAACAGGAGGGATTTATGAGTACACAAGATCTAGCCTTGTATGCTGAGCTATATTGTCCCTGCCCTGCTTTGCAACATGTCTGATTCTATACACATGGGGAATCGTTCAGCTGTTCCAGGTGCCTCCAGTTAACCCTCCAGTAGCCGTTCTTATGCTGCCTGCATTGCACCCCCTAAAGGGCCTGACAGACAGCCAGGACTTCTGCCCTCTGCTAGTATATACACCATCTTCGGTCTTCTTTAGCTCAGTCATTGGCTTCATCCCAGCAGAATTTCATGGCAGTAATGCAAGATTTTATGAGCCAAATAGCACACTTAATTGCTTATTCGCAGAGGCCTTAAACAGGCATCAACCCCTGCAGAGTCCTTTCCTGATATGCCTGCGGTCACCAAGACTTCATC